CAGGTTGTACAGGTCAAGAACACATTTCCGTGGACTTTTGGGCAGGCCCACAATTTTGCTACAACAATGTTGCTAGATTTATTTCTAACCCCATCTCTCTGCAAGTCTGCTTCACATACACAGTTTTTTTAATTTTTCATGATGACCTGTGACAGAATGAGATGTGGTTACAGGAAAACAAGATGTTATGATTTGATATCCTTCATAGGTTCTTTCTGCTTCAAAGGGGTTTTTTCCTCTCTCATTGTAGTGCCATGGATAATAGCCATCCTCAGTTTTGTACTTTTCTTTATTAACCTGAAGCATGTCACTCCTATCTATGTATTTTGGGGTAATCTTTAATGTCTCACCTAAGAAATTTAAAAGGAATTTCTCTTTAGTTCTCAAGCACAAATTTAATGCAAAATGAAATCTCCAAGGAAAGAATTAGTCCAAATCTGATTTACAATGAATTTTTGCCACACAAAAAAATCTGAATGATTGAATTTGCACGCTGAAGCATCTTTAGGAGTTTGTTGATTTATCTCAGCTTAGGTTTCATTATACCTAATCAGTGGAAGCTCTGAACACAGAGGTTTTGTTTAAGAGTCCTTCCCATCACATGAAGGATTTTCACAGCCCTTTTTCACTTCATGTAGCATCGCAAAGCACTAAATAACACTCGTATGCTCTCCTGCTGCTTCATACCACCTTGGCTTAAACAACCCTGAAAACGTGTTATTTCCAAAATCTTTTGATTATTTCTTAAGAGAGTGTAGAAAAACCTTTGTTTGGGAGATCAGTAATGTCCTTTATGATGTTTCCGTGTGGATTTTTGGTTATTGCAGCCAAAGTTAAGCCTCTCTTAGGCTTTGGTATTGACATACGAGATACACACCTGGTATCTGTGAAATCTGTGGGCTTTTGAAAAGGAGGGAATGCTAGGTGAGAGCTTTCCTTTCTCTGTTCTATTGGTATGCACTTTTTCTATTAGCATTTAAATTTTATTTGCCTTTTTCATTAAACAAGCTTAATTAAAAAGGTTCCACAAACAAAATTAACATACTCAACCCTAAAAGAGCAAAGCTTAGACAATTAAGATGCAGTAAAAGAACAATTATTAGATAGCCCTAAACAGATTATCTGCACAGTATTAAATTTAATTTTCATTACTGTTAATAGCAAGAGCACTAGTAACAGCTTCTCCACGTCAAAAATAAAAAAAATATCTTGGATTGAAATCCAGGTAGCCATACAGGTACTGCACCAAAATCACAAAACACCTGCCAAGCCACTTTTAGGCTAGCTCAGTCTTTAAGCAGCTTCTTGGATTTTCCTCTTCATCTTCACTTGCATAGAAGAGTGTTAAGTCTGTTCTTTGCAAAGATCTTTGGCATGATCTTTGATGACAAATGACACGCTACCATATGCCAAAAAAGAAGGAGAATATAGTCACCCCCAGCTTCAACTTTAACTGGAGCTGCTTTGTTCTGAGTGCCCTGAATAATTAATAACTACTTTGGCAATCAGTCATGCATTCCTTAATGGCACCTCAGGCATCAAGTATCCCATTCACCCGCTCCCCCAAGTAACAATGGACTTTATTACATCAAGTTTTCTCTGCCAAACTTGTAACTGACATAATTTAAACCAAACAAGTCACTAGGAAGACTGAAGCCCAAACATACATTATAAGAGTTTATAAAGTTTCCTTCAATTGCATGTGGCTACTATATGGATTAGAGCTGTAACTGTGGGCAAGTAAGAAGAAGGGGAAAAGAAATGAAACATGGATTGTTTTTGCAATAAAGTTCTAGGAGGGTTTAGGTGGTATAGTGCTGCCAAAAACATGACTTCTAATAAATGCATAGCTGAACAGTCAAAAAGCAGAACAACCACTAAGCAGCTCCTAGTGAATAAAGCAGCTCACCAGTAAGCACAGACTAAGTGACAGGGCAGACCATGAAAAGAGTGACTAAGAATAACAGCTGTGCTGAAAGTAGCATAATAATTTTGAAATAACACAAACTACATTTTCTTAGTAAGAATAAGCTTTTTCAACACTTCCTTCCACTTTATGGTATTCCAGACAAAATTAACTTGCAGCTATAGAACAGTGGAAAGGAAAGTGGAGTTAGACCAGAATTATAGAAAGTTGTAGATGTACCCAGGGTACACAATTTAAAATGGAAGAAATGCAAATTATTAAACTGTAATTAGCTAGAATCTGAAGAAAAGCTTCATGTTTTTCTTGGAGAGCATTCTGCTTGTATACAGTAAGTGCACTGCTTTTATGCGGCGCCTTACAATCCCATGGTAAACCTTTCTAGAAAATGATGTTCTGTCTATCGACATTGGAACTGCTGTGAGTCCTTTTGAGTGACTAAAGCAATCAGATCAATAGCCATTCTTCCCCTACTTATTCATCATGTGAAACATTGGTTTGAAATATAATATACAAAGTAAAAGTATATAGATACGATAAATTAAAACAGATGTAAACAAAGCCATTTCTCTTGCTCTTTAAAAGACCTGAAAATGTGTCCAGTGCCCCTCTCTGTGTGTGGCCTCCAAATACAGAAACAAGCTTGCACTGTTTTATTTCAGTTTTGCTTCATTTCTCCCCAAACAATCTCTCATTGCTAGTCTACCAGGCATCTCCCCCTCCCCCTCTTGTCAAAAAATGAGGGCAAAAAAATAAATTAACTGTTTAGGACCAATTTGTTGAAGTGAATAACTAAGTGAAACAGTAATGCTTTTGCAAGAATCATTTAAAATTTACACTCACTCCTATAGCTGACACCTTTTTTGCAGGGAGGTGGGAGGGGAGGGGGGCTGTAAATTTTAGCTTCTCTTGAAATGTTGGATAAGATAGCATTATAGTTTTAAAGAAAAACACTTTTTTGGGGCATCAGTTTTCAATTGCTCTAGGTACAAGAAGCAGGTCTAATCCTGAAACTCAGCAATACAGATTTCATTTACAATCTGCAGCCTGAAATGTGAAATTGTGTTTTGCATGGCTTATTAAGACATAATTTTTGATGAAAAAGATCACAGCCCTTTTAAAGAGAGATTTGGAAACTAATCCTCACAAAACAATAAGCAGTTGTTATACTGTGCATTTTGGGGCTAGTTCTGAATTCCTATGATGTGAAGGGGGCTGCTCTTGCTTGTTACATATGTGAGAGATAACATGCTTGGTTTCTAAAACAGTTTGTATGTATACTTCATATGCTATATAAGCTTTGTTAATGGAGAAAAACAGGGAACTAAAAATGCGTCCTACGACGTCACCTCTGTTTTTGTCTATTGAATAAGTGATGTAAATATTTTGAAGATTAAAGAATTGTTTTGCAAGTGTTGATAATTTAAATGTTATAACAAGTTTTCCCCATCAAACATCAAGGAATAAATTCTGTCCATTTGTACAGCACGGCATAAAGATAATTATACATATACTCTGGTATTTTTAGGTGCCTTTGTCTAATCCATTCAACAGAAATTGGATCATACATAAGTCAGATAGATATGTAGCAGGTAGGATGTAATACTAGAGCTGCAACAACAAAATTTGGCATCAGCCCACAAATACATCTATTTAGGGATTTTCTTTTACCATTTTCTAAAAGCAAACATACTTACTACATTCTGCCTTTGGGTGTATGAGAGTTTAAACCTGGCCATATTTCAAGTTGGTTTGGAGACTGATTGACATTTTATTTAATTTCAAAATTCATCATTATCAAGTCATACTATTCCACTAACAAAAGGGTCTAACTCACAAAAGAGTCAAATATGCAGATCAAATCTTTAATCACTTTAGGAATAGTTCTTAGTTAGGCCTAAATATTTAAAAATACTTATAGGAAAACAATAGAAAATAACATCTATATATATATATATGTATGTACACAAACACACACACACTACTACACTTCACTGACATCATCATCAGTATGCTAAATATATTATGTAGAAGATTATGAATTGTTGAAAAGATAAGTGGAATTGTTCTTTGCTTCTTCTCAGTAGCTGACGTTTTGAAAATGGGGAGAAGAGACAAAAATGGCAAAAGCAATAAGTAAGCCAAATGCATTTTGAGTGAAGCGCATTCAGTGGGGTTACAACATGGATTCTTTTGATCAATTTTTTATTGAGCTTGCAGATATTTTCCACCAACCAAATACCACAGACCACAAGACTACTTAGGACAGTCACGAAGTGAATTATGAGGAATTTAACAGAAATACTCCTTACTCTCTTTAAATATGGAATACCTATTCTAGATCAAGTCAACCCCTGTTCTGCTCCACTCTAATGTTTCAGAACACTACCTCATCCTTAAAAATCTATAAACATTGTTTTGCTATCAGAGACCTTTCATTTGGTGAAAAAAGGTAACAGAAATCTGTTGACAGTGAAAATAGTCACATTTTAGACAATTACTATTGTTTAATACCTGCAATTTACAAGCATTAAGCAACAATTGAGAGAAGTCTAAAGTACAGTTTCCAGGGAAAATGCAGTGGAAAATGAGTATTATGCATTGTCTGCTTTGTCATATCCAGAAGCATAAGAACTTTTCTGGTTTTGAACTGGGTATAATCATTCGGCTTTATATGTCTAATAGCAGCTGACTAATAAAAATGTTAATTTCTTCAGTTGTCTTTGTAACTTCCCAATACTCTTTCAATGTCACACAACTGATTCTTATGCTGATTTTTCTTCTTCTCAAAGCTAGAATTTTTTTTTCACAGTACTGTATTAGGAATGCAAACATTTTATTGAAGTTTCCACACAAACAACCGAGCCCACAACTTCCCAGTCCAAAGCCATCCAAGAAGAACCACAAGAACACTCAGTTAAAAAAACAGAAACAAAATGTACAATTCTGGAAGACAGATTGCTCATTATTAAGAAATAAACAGTAATTAATCCTAAGCTATTAAAAGATTCTTTTGAGCTACCACTTCAAAGATTTTGTTTTCGTGAAATGTTCCAATCTGAAACATGTTACTTACTGGCATAAGAAGTGTATAATGGATGCAGAATCCAGGTTCAGAAGGAAAATATTCATCAGACACAAATCTTATTCTGATCTGGTTTCCTTTGGAGATTTGTCTGCTTGGCACACTACTGGAACCACACCAGCGCCCTAAAACAGTGCCATCACTAGGCTCTTCAACTTCTACAAAGTCATACCTGAACAGAAAAGAAAATCAAATGTTTATTTACTGATAAAATTTCTATAAAAATTCCTGCTTTAATCAATAAACTGACTTTGCAGTTTGCAATTATTTTTTTTTTTTAACACTGAAAGTATGCTACCAAAGCCAGCTATTTTAAACTTGGCTTCCAAGTTGCTACTGGCTTAAATACATAATAAAATCATGCAGTGAGGTTAAAAAAATAAAAGCAGAGTTAGCATTTTGAAAAGACCCATGAGTATGGTTTTGTTTGCTCCCTTTATGGAAAGCAATTACAACACGTGGGATACAGCAGAATAAAGTCAGAGAAAAAAGATTGAAATTGCCTAAGTGTGGCATAGTAATTCGTACTGCAATATCACTAACAGTATACTGCATGTCACCAGTGAAAGTTCAGGGGCTTTTTGGTATGGAAAACTTGCTCTCTTGTAATGCCAGTAGTGAATAAGCTCCTGAAGGTTAAGGTGGCTGAGGGAAACTTGGAAGCACATTTTGAGTTTATTCATACCCCAGCGAGACATTTGTTGAGCAAAGACCTAGACGTACTGCATGTCAGAAGAACCTGATATTTTGGTAATATTGACAAAAGATATATGGGTTGGGAGCTTAGAGCGAATGAAACATATTAGGTTTGATTTAGTTTCATTGGTTTTTAACATGTGGTCTGGGTATCGCTGGGGATCTGTGAACAACTTCAAATAGATCCATGAAAGGTACCTAAGAAACACCAGTCAATCGTCATCAATGAGCTTCAATACACCACACAAAGGTCCTCGCTTCCACTGGAAATGTTTAGGGGGGTTCCCAAGTCATAAAAACATTGAAAGCCACTGCTCTAGAAAGTACATCTGGTTTCAGTGCTTTAACCTGTTTCATGTCAGTTCCCCAGCTGCCCACTGACAGAATAAACACTAAGCATTTCAGCTGGATTTCCCCTGCTGCAGCTTGAAACCCTTGGAGCCCCAGCAGCAGCATGGCCCAGTGGTTTGGGAAGGCGAGAAAGCATCGGTTAATGCACGGCAAGCGTGTGGAAGCTCACAGATGTAGTTTTCCGAGTCATCGTTTTACTTTTAAACCACAACTTGTATTCTAGCACACCTCTGAGAAAGTTTCAATGTTTCTGGTATTTTTGTGTTCTCTTACATGTGTAGTCATATACTAAATAAGTCTCAAGTAAATCTAAATTGGTAAACAGCATTGAGTCCTTTTCAAGGGTATAAACAGTCCTACCTCTGATGATAGCAAATACTCATATTTTACAAAACACGCACACACACTCTACCAAATATACCAAGCAATATTTAATATGAAAATTATTACCACATAAACATTTTCTACTAAAGATTTTTCTGGATTTCTTTTCAGTAAAGCTAATCTTTATAATGATTCCCAGTTCCCTAGTTAGACAGCAGGCAATAAATTCTTGTGTTGCATGTTTGTGCAAGACTGACTTGCACATTTATTATCTCCATTTAAAGGACCAGTATTTTTTTCCACTTAATTAAAAATGAATGCAATGAATATGCTCATTAACTGTGTTCAAAATCCATTACTGCCATGTACCACAGTTTTAAATCTTTGTTGAACTTGATACTAATTACTTTATCACCATCTTTCCCCCCCGCCAAACAGTAACTAATTCCTTTAACTGATCCACCAGCGTTTTTACTTTATGATCAGGTATACAACTTATTACAAAGGCAATGCGTACATTAATTGTACTAAGACTTCAGGGCTCAACACACTTATCAAATTGATTTTGAGCAGTGAATTTTATTTTTTTCTTTTTAAAATCAGTTTATGAAGTTTCTAAAGGTAACATTTTTATTTTTTTAGTTAAGACTACTAAATACTTATCTACTTTTCTGATTTGTAAAGAGTGAATAAGTTAATCGTTACATTTATTGACTTAGGCTTAAGATGTCTGGGGGGTCAGGCAAAGTATAGGTGTTAGTGCTTCTAAATAACTTGCAGAGTACTTTCTATTGCACCCTTTGGTCTCCTGGTACCCCTGAAGTAAGAGAGAAACTCAAATTCCACAGTTTAAATCTTAGACCCTTAAAATAAATGCTAATTAATTCCATTAGTTGAGAGGTAAAATAGAGGGAAATACGTATTCTGAAAAACCCAAATAAAATTCAGCTTTCTGATATACATGACAGATCCAAATAATTCTGTTTGTCAGTGTTTTTCTTCTATATTCAGTTCTTTTCTCCTTGATCTTCGTATGTAGTATTTGTAAACAAGCTCTCATTTGTAATCAAAATAATTATGTTTTTTCTGTGTGTTATCAGTGTTACCTTGATTGAGAGGTTTCTCAGCCACCCTTCTCCCACCCTAATACCATTCTGATCATCAGAAATCCACTTGTTTCCAAGTGATCAATCTGGAAACACTTTAATCATTATATAGCACTCATTAGTACTGCACTGCAGCATGCACAATTACCAATATCACTATTTAAGGGATTTACTAAAACCTATTTTATAAGCCAATCAAATGTAACCTTCTCATGGCAACATGGTACAGTACATACAGCAGAGTCTACAATGATTACTCCCTCTCTGCAATGTCTCCCTCAGGACCTATAGAGGATTTCTGTTCTTTTATGTTCAACAAACAAGTCTGGTGCTGTAGACAAAAAAATCTGTTTTCATAAGCAAATACATGAGAAATGAGTATCAGTTTCTTACTGCTGAACACAGATGTAGGTGGAGCTCCCTGCACAATATAGATATTTCACCATCAGCAAGGGGAATCTTTAGAAATTCTGTCTATGTCAACAGAAAAAAGTCCCTCACGTGTTTCCTGGACATAATGACATTTTTAGCCAGTAACTTTTTTCCTGTCAGTTATCTAGGCTGAATGTGCTGCAAGAGCCTGTCGAAAAAATCTTCTGTGCAACTAAAATTCCTTGCGTTGCACATCTGGACTGAAGTCTGAACTTGCTGTGAAAAGTAACAAACCAAAGTGTTTCAGATGCTTTAGCATTTACAGGATTGTGCTACATAATTCTGCATCTTCATGTCACAGGGCTAAAGAGCAGCAGGGACAATAGCATAGCCATCCAAAACCATTTCCACATCAAGACAGGCTTGTACTTGAAATGCAGGAAAACTAGGATAAATAACCAAGAACTGAGAAGCTATTTTCCATCTGCAATGGAGTAAAAAATGTTAAAATGCATGCTGAATGAAACAAAGAATCGTTCTCTTCTGTGCAGTGTACAAAGGAGAAAACAGAACCCTCTTTGACAATGACTAAAGAAATGCCCTGGTGCTGTATCTACATTCAATACATTATTCAAATATTACTAAGCAAAATTTATGACAAAGAGGTAGTCCAATCTCCTTTCCTGGGATGAAAGATGCTTTTGCCTTTAGTTGTGATGCCCATAATGCCTTCCATTATACCTGTTGCAGGTCAGGTATTCCTCTTCCCTGTAGCCTCGGTGCCTGGGACCGTGGACTGAATTAACAACCTGAACAAAGACAATTTATTGGAAAAGAGCAAGGAAGCAATGTAAGCAACTCTGAACTTCAATGCCTTCCCAACCAGGAAATGTATTTTCCAAGGGAATAGGTTTTCCTCTCCTTTCTATATTTTTTCTGTGGTTTACACTGCATTTGCTAAACATACTCTGACAGGCTGTTTACCTTGGCTTGCAATTTTGTGACCTTTTTGTGGGTTCCCTCTGCCTTTGGAATTCCACAAATATATCAATGAATGTAAGAAGCAGAAACCCACGGGGTAAAACACTTTGTCATATCAGTGACGTTGGACCTTTCCATCTGTATATAGATGCATGCTAGACAAAAATCTAGCACGCCCATTAAAAAGCTTGTAAAAGGTGAAATATATTTTTCCTTCCCCCTTTGATAAGAACCCATTTCAATTTATTTTTTTTTTAAATGAAGAAATAGGAATTTGATAACAATCCCTATCATATTTTTTTTGACAGTGTCCTCTGGGACTCTGTAATATTTCTGTTCCAACTTGTTTTAAAGCACATGGAATTCTAAGGTTTTCCTGGTGCTGGCATAGCACACCAAAATACCTACCTCAGCTGCAGACCAAAAGCATTCAAGGTCTCCTGGCAGTTCACCAGACACACTGTTATTGAATAGAACTTAGATGCTTTATATTTGGACAGCTTCAATTTTGGAAATATTGGAAATTACTAAAAACTATCATCATGAAAATATACTTTTGATCTTTTTATAAGAAAAATTTTAACACCATCATTTTAAAGGAATATTTCCTCTCCCTCTTCCACCTCCATTTGAAATAATTTTCATTTTTGCTACTGAAATATTTGAATTTCCTATGGAAAAAAATTTTTGGTTTCCATCATTTGACTTAACTGTGTATTTGTATAGACAAAACTGTAAGGGTATTGGTGACACCTTACATAGTCTTCACCTCTTAGATCACTTTTAAATCACATCTGTAAGTAGTCATATTGCTCTTTGTGAAATAAACACTGTATTTACATATAGAAGAAAGTAAAGCCAAACATTTAGCTTGAAGACATTTTATTCAAAGCGTGTCAGCCTTCACTTGCAATAAATCCTGGAAGCCTCCTCCAATCAACCCAGCTCTCCAGTAATGCTCTGATGGGCAGATACATGTTTATCCGAGTGGAAAACAGAACACTGGAGCATGACAGAGGCACTCAAATCCGTAGTATCTAATGGCAGACCCAATTTGTTTCACCAGCCTTGTTACTCCCCACAGGTCAACATGCTGTACAGTCTCCAGCAAAAATGCATGATGGGACAAGGGGAATGCAAAAAAGAGCAGAGGGAAAATGGGAGGAACCCAAGAAGGAAGAAGGCCAGAGAGTGTGGCATGCTGGACTAGAGAAATAAGTGGATTTCAGGCAAACTAAAAGCCTACAGATGTAGCAATACAGTTGTAAAGAAGAGTGCACTGCATCGTTCATTCAATAGGTGGAGAACTTTACTCTTTTCTATTACCAATACTGCCCCTCTC